GGATTGAGAAGCTGGTGCTGATCAACAAATCTGGGTAGGCGCTGCTCAAAGGGTGATGCCAAGGGGTGGAGAGGGCCTTCTCCAGCAGCCTCCCCCGGGCTGTGACCGTTTCCAAACGTCTCTTCCTTCCCCTCTTCCTAGGAACCGCTCAGAGAGAGAAGTCCGAGCAGCTGCCCTCGTCTTGCAGACAGTCTGGGGCTACAAGGAGCTGCGGAAGCCCCTCGAGAAGGAAGGCTGGAAGAAGTCAGATTTCCAGGTGTGGGGATGCCCTGTGGTGGCTGGGGTAGTCGGTGGGGTCCTGCAGCAGGGAGAAGGGTGTTCCTGGAGCTCAGCAGGACTGGTTTGCAGCCCTTGGCCTTGCTGGTGGGACTGGGCACCCGCAGAGGTGTCCCCTGTGCCTCAGGGGAATGTCCCGGCTCCTCAGCTGATGGCCAGCAGGAAGGCTCTGCTCAGGACACTCTGAAGTGTCACACCCTGTGTCCCACACCAGCGTGTGGCTCCACAGGCAGGAATTTTGTCACCCTGAACTCTGCCATGGCAGTGCTGAAGAACAAGGTTCTCCTGGGCTCAGTTTCTTTCCCAAAAGCAGGGACTACCCATTTTCCTGGAGCGCTGGGCACTGCCCCAGTCCAGGCAGGACCCCCTTGCTCTAATGGGGGTGTGGTGGGGGCTCGAGCACCCTTTGGTTACTTTGAGCCCCTTGCTCAAGGGTTGTGGGAGAGCTCCTGGGTCCATCCTGGTGCTGGAGGGGTGGGATGTGCCAGTGGGGAAGGAACATCTGGGTCCAAGATGTGACTGGTCACTGTCTGTTGCTATAGGTGAACCTGAGCAATGCCTCTCGGACCCAGGGAGGCAACTCATTTGATGACAGCACCTTGCCTCTCATCGACAGGAACCAAAAAACAGGTACGTGCCTGCCTTCAGCACCTGTGCCCACCATCATCCCCCCACACCATGTGGGTACCCAGGGCAGCTGGCCTTTGTCCCCTCCCTGCCCTTCAGCCTGGGCTTCCCTGGCAGCCACAGCTGCTCGCACAGGGCCGTCACCATCAGTTTGGGCCGTGGCTGGCTTTCCTGGCCATCAAGGCCCTCAGTTTGGGCTTTAGGTGGCTCCTTGGGGTTGTCACTGGTAGGGCCTGTAGTGTCCTTGGGTCACAGAGCTGTGGCTGCAGCTGGGCCTGGGCTCCCCCAGCTGGGGCAGGTGGCATTTCCTCCACGGCTCAGGGACTGTCCCTGACCTGCTCTCCCGTGCTTGTAGATAAGAAATCCTCCCGGGAGGAGATCCAGATGAGCAACATGGGACCAGGTAGGAGAGGGACTGGAATGGGGGGCCTCTCGCCCCCTCAGTGTGCAGGGAGGGGGGCAGAGCTCGCATCTCCTGTGGGGATGGGGCAGCCCTCCCTGGAGGTGACACAGCTGACTGTCCCCTCTCCCGCTCCAGACAACTATTCCACACTCAACGAGAGGGACCACAGCAGGACGCTGGAGCGATCCGGTGACCTGGGAGAGATGGAGCCGGTGAAGGCAGCACCGCTGATGGTGAGCAGCTGTCCCTGACGAGGGAGGGGCGCAGGAGATGCCACATCACTGTCCTGGCTGGCAGGAGGAGGGGAGAGCTGGGCTCCCACAACTAACACCCCCCCACCCCCTCGCCCCTACTAACACCCCATGTGTCTGCAGCAGGAGGAGGAGGGGCAGGAGCCGCAGCCTGAGGTAGAGGAGGCGGAGGAAGAAGCTGCTGTGCTTTCCCCCGTGTCGGTATGTCCCGCGGTGTCCTGCCCAATCTGACAGTGGTGACAGATCCTGCTGTGCTGTTAGGGGTGCTTGGCCAGCCAAATCCTGCTCCCATTGATCGATCTCTGCTGCCGTGGTGCTGCCTCCGCCGCTCGCTCCCCCCCCAGCCCTGCTAACGCCTCTCCCTCTCTCTCCACAGCAGAAGATCTAGCTGGCCTGCCCACCTCCGCTCCGTTTGGGTTGATAATATATTATATATATAAATATATAACTCTTCATGGTGGAATGGACCGACTTTTACCTTGTCTTACTGTTGGAATTTTTGCTGGACTCCTTGTGCCAACCATCCAGCCAAACCATGCCTGGGCCGGCTCCCCGGAGACCACTCGGCCTCCTCTGGGCCTCTGCACCTCCCCGTCCCGGGACACCACGACTGAGAGCTCCTCCTCCCGTCTTCCACCACCACCACCTCCTTCCTCCCGAGGGGTAAAACCTCTTCCTGCCTGACTCTGCCGGATCAGCCGGCGTGGATGCTGCACAAGGACTCGGATCTCTGCCTTGACCAGGAGCTGCCTTCTCTCCCACGCCTTCCCCCTGCTGCAGGGCGTCCGCAGGGACAGGGACTGGGACCTCACTCGCCGCCGCCTTGTTTTTGGTTTGGTTTCGTTGCCTATAGGATGTATTTTTTTCGTGCGGGATCACTCTTCAGCCAGGGACAGCACAGACATCCCTCCTCCCTGGGGGCTGCAGGACCAGGGTCCAGGGGCTGGAGCCGTGGTGGGGAGGGCGAGAGGAAGGACAGCCAGCAGCCAGCAATAACTTCTCTTGCTTTGCTCTAGACGAGGCTTCGGGGGGCGTGGGAAGGGGGGATGTGGCTCTGGATCCTGCGGAGGGGTCTGGATGGGGGAGCCCCGGCTCCCACCCGGTGCCTGTGTGAGGAGGATCCTATGTGGGGAAGAGGGTCAGTGCTGGGGCGGGGGCGAGGGGTCCCTGCGGAGGGAGGAGACGCGGTAGGATTTTGGGGAGAGGGCTTGGGGCGCGCCGTGCCGGGCGGCTGGAGCCGGGACCCCCACGGCGCTGCCCCCCCTGACTTTCTCTTGACACGTGCCTTTCTTTTGCCACTGTGAAATAGCTGTTTGAATCGTACTGTCCCTGGGGAAGGGGAGTTCCCTGGGCTTCCAGCAGGGCTGAACTCCTCCCTTCCCCACCGGGAGCCTTCCCTGTCTGCAGTGGGGCTGGGAGCCTGTTTCTGGGGGGAACCCACCCCCCCCTGCCCTCACTGAGAGGGTTCAGGGCATTGCCATCCAGGCCTGGGGAGCCTGGGCTGCCACGGGAGCTGGGATGTGCTCCTCCTCCTCCTCTTGGCTGTGGTGCTGGGGCACATTGACGTGCTGTGATCTTCTGGGGGGCCCTGCTGCTCCCTGTGCAACTGGAAGTCTCTGTAGGAGGCTGCAAACTGGAGCAGGAGCCCTCCCAGCCCGGGGCTCCCCCCGGGAGGGGTGTGGGGGGGTGGCAGGGGCAGAGCCACCTTGCTCCTGCCCCAAATCCCCCTCCCAGCACTAGCTGGGCCCTCCCTGCTTCCAGCCCCACCTCAGCTCGGTTGGGTTTTGTTCTGGGGTCTAACTCTTCTCTTTTCCTTTAAATCTGTAAAACACTAATTCCTTTTTTAATTTTTAATTCTAAATGAACCAAAAAGACAGCGTCCCCCTCCTCTCCTCCTCGGCCCCGCTGGGGAGGGGGGCTAAGGAGGGGAGGAGGGGGAAGCACCAAGCCGTTCCTTGTCTGATTCCTGTGCACACTCTTGTAACGCTTTGAAAACAAAATGATTTTTTTATATAAATAAAGTTTTTAAAGTGTGTCGGTGTGCCTGCCCCCCCTGGCTGCACTCTTGGGTGTTTCTGGCTTTGCTGTTGGGACCAAGGGCCTTTTCCAGGACTCCCAAAGGTGTCGTTGTGTGGCAAACCCTTTCTTGTCTGAGGGTGACACTTCCCAGCCCTCCCACCCTGCCTTGCACCTTTGTCCCCAAAGCCACCAGTGAGCAGAGCAAAGGCAGGACCGGCTGTTTTATTGCTTCAGGTCCAGGGGGCGATGCCCAGGATGTGTGGCTTGGTAGGGACAATGCCAGGAATGTCTTGCAGGAATGCGGGCAAGGAATGGTGCCTGGGATGCCTGGCACCAGCAGGGCTGGGGACAGTTGGCTGGGTGGGACAAAAGGAGGCATGTTGGGCTCAGCAGGGGTAAGTTGGGGACTGTGCTGGGGACATACAGGCTGGGGGTCAGAGGAGGAGTTTGGGAGCACCCAGGCTGGGGGTCAGAGAAGGAGTTTGTTTGGGGACACGCAGGCTGGGGATCAGAGGAGTTTGGGAACACCAGGCTGGGGGTCAGAGGAAGAGCCTGTTTGGAGACACCCAGACTGGGGGTCAGAGGAGTTTGTTTGGGGACATCCAAGCTGAGGGTCAGAGGAGGAGTTTGGGGGCACCCAGGCTGGGGGTCAGAGGAAGAGCTTGTTTGAGGACATGCAGGCTGGGGGTCAGAGGAGGAGTCTGGGGACACCAGACTGGGGGTCAGAGGAGGAGTTTTTCTGGGGACACCCAGGCTGGGAGTCAGAGGAGGAGTTTGGGGACATCCAGGCTGGGGGTCAGAGGAGGATTTTGTTTGGGGACACCCAGACTGGAGGTCAGAGGAGGAGTTTGGGGGCACCCAGGCTGGGGGTCAGAGGAGAACTTTGTCTGGGGACACGCAGGCTAGGGGTCAGAGGAGGAGTTTGTTTGGGGACACGCAGGCTGGGGGTCAGAGGAGTTTGGGAACACCAGGCTGGGGATCAGAGGAAGAGCTTGTTTGGAGACACCCAGACTGGGGATCAGAGGAGGAGTTTGTTTGGGGACGCACAGGCTGGGGGTCAGAGGAGTTTGTTTGGGGACATCCAAGATGAGGGTCAGAGGAGTTTGGGGGCACCCAGGCTGGGAGTCAGAGGAGAACTTTGTCTGGGGACACACAGGCTGGGGGTCAGAGGAGGAGTTTGTTTGGGGACATCCAAGCTGGGAATCAGAGGAGGAGTTTGGGGACATCCAAGCTGAGGGTCAGAGGAAGAGCTTATTTAGGGGCACCCAGGCTGGGGGTCAGAGGAAGAGCTTGTTTGAGGACGTGCAGGTTGGGGGTCAGAGGAGGATTTTGTCTGGGGACACCCAGACTGGGGGTCAGAGGAGGAGTTTGGGGGCACCCAGGCTGGGAGTCAGAGGAGAACTTTGTCTGGGGACACACAGGCTGGGGGTCAGAGGAGGAGTTTGTTTGGGGACATCCAAGCTGGGAGTCAGAGGAGGAGTTTGGGGGCACCCAGGCTGGGGGGGTCAGAGGAAGAGCTTGTCGTGGCAGGCCTGGCAGTACATCTTGTCTCCCCACTCGCGGAAGGTGCCTTTCTGCAGCCGGCCCAGGCAGTAGGTGCAGACAAAGTGCTCGGGGTGGTACTTGCGCCCCGCGGCCGTGATGCAGCGCCCGGTGACGGGGCGGCCGCAGCCGTGGCAGATGGTGCCCTGCCGCCGGTGGAAGTGCAGCTCGCAGTAGGGCCGACCCTCCAGCTCGAAGAAGGAGCCGCCGGAGAAGCCGCTCAGGCATTCCTGGGGGGAAGGAGACCGGGAAAGGCTGGCACGGCCTCAGGAACGCCGGGCAGGGCCCTGCTGCCCCGCCGCCCACACTCACCGTGCACACGAAGCACTCGGGGTGCCACACGCCCTGCAGGGCCGACAGGTAATTGTCCGTGACCGGGCGCTCGCAGCCCTGGCATTTGGGGGCGAACATGGCCAGGAAGTCCTGGCAGCAGTAGGGTTTCCCGTTCCGCTCCAGGAACCCTGCGGAGAGGGGAGCGGGATGGGCACCCACCAGGGGTGGGTGGGCAGAGGGCATGGACGTGGGCTTGCCTGGGGTAGGAGGCAAGGGAAAGACCGTGGAGGGATGTCGGGTGGGGCGGTAGGTGTGAGGGCAGGGGATACCTGGGTGGGGGGCAGGCCTGTCACGCCCGTCCCCTGGGACATACCCTCGTCCCCGAAGACCTTCCCGCAGTGGGCGCAGAAGAAATGCTCGGGGTGCCAGGTCTGGTCCAAGGCCGTGAGGACTTTCTGCAGGAACAGGTGAGGTGAGGCGGCCGGCGGTGGCGGGGAGGGGGTGTGGGAGCACAGGGGGGGATTTACCTCGCGGATGGTGCCGGCACAGTAGGCGCAGCGGGGGGAGAAGGCCTGGTGATAGTCCTCCTCGCAGAACGCCCGCCCGCCCTGCTCGAAGAAGGGCTGGCTGTCCAGCCCCTGCCCGCAGCGGGCACAGGTGAAGTGCTCGGGGTGCCAGGTTTTGCCCAGGGCTGTGAGCACCTGTGAGGAGGCGGGAGGAGGCTGAGGGCGGCTCCGGGGGGATGCTGAGGGGAGGGGATGCCAGGACGGCGGCGGGGGGCTCACCTTGCCGGCGATGGGCTTGCGGCAGCCGGCGCAGACCCCCGCGGGGGCGGCCGTGATGCCCAGCTCCTGCAGGTCCCGGGTCAGGCTGCCCAGCATGTTGTCCAGGGAGGGCTCCGCGGGCACCCCGGCTCCCTGCTCGGACAGCTGCCGGGGAGCAGGACGGTGAGGGCTGGGTGAAGGTCAGGCCCCAACCCCCTTTCCCCAGGGCCAAGCTCACCTTGCTCTGCATGTGGCCCAGGTCGGCCAGGAGCTCATCCAGCTGCTGGGCAGCCGCCGTGAGTGGGGGCTGTGGGACTGGGGTGGGGCTGCTGGACACGGCAGAGGGGGGGCGGTGATGAGGTTTCCACTTTTTCTAGGACTGAGACCCCTCCAGCCCCACCAACACAGCCCTTTCCCAGAGACCACTGCAGAGAACATGTAGCCCAGCCCTCACCCCAGCAGGGATGCAGGGCACAACCTGCCCCAGCTCGCAGAAGGACCTGTTTTTCGGGCATTGAGGTGACCCCAGGTGGCACATCCCAGCAATGAGTGGGCACCCCCAGATGGCTTTGCCCTCCCATGGCCATATTTACCTGTACACTGTCTCCAAATCCTTTCCCAGAGACTGAGCCTGAGGCAGCAGCTGCACCTGGGAGGACAAAGCCTTGCAGCCAAGCTCCCCTGGCAGCTCCATCACGAGCTGAGGGGGTCTGTGCTGAGGCCTCTGTACCTTTGGGGCTGCCAAGGCAGGAGGCTCAGAGCCACGGGGGGCATGTGGATCCTGGCAGGAGCTTGGTCCCTGCCACACAGGGTCCTTGGAGGCCTGGAGGGAGCTCTGCTCCAGTTCCGCCAGCAAAGCATCTGCACAGAGAGACTCCCCTCAGGCACCACAGCCACTGGCTGCCCACCCTGCTGCCACCCCCTTGGGAGGTCTTGTACCACTCCTGAAATCCCAGGAGCAAAAGGAGCATCCCAGCAGGTTCTGTCGGGCAGGTGCCAGTGCCCCGAGGGCACCCAGATTCCCATCCTCGGTGCAGGATGTGCCCACCACTTCCTGCAGCCTTCCTGGAGCGTGGGCACCGCTGGCAAAGGGTCCTGTCCCTGCACACCATCCCTGGCCCACCAAGGAACATCCGCCAGCCCTTCATTTCATCCAGCGTGAGTGAGCCCTGGAAGGGGAGGGCTCAGCCTCGGTGGGTTCCATGCACCCAGAGCGCTGCTTCCCCCAGGAAGGGCCGAGAGCTCGTTCTTCCCAATTCTGTCTCACCACCCTGGCCATCCCTCACATCAGGAAACAGGGAATGCCCCTCCCTCCCCACCATGGCACAGCTGCTTACCCGCCCCAGGCCAGGGCCAGCTCTCAGCACCCCAGAAGTTGTGCTGCAGTCTCGGGATTGCAGCGCTGCCACGGCCCATTTCCTGCTCTCAAGCTCGCTCCATTTTTGGCCAAGCTCTTGCCCGACCACCCCATCAGCCCCCTGGGATGGGGGAGGCACTGCAGGGAGCGTGGCCCCATTGCTGCCCCCGTTGCTGCCCCCTTAGAGCATCCCCACCTGGTCCTGGGGGAGAGGAAGGACAAGGCTCCCCCCAGGCGCTGCAGGCACGGCCCCACGCCAAGCCTGGCTGCAGGATCGCCTCTGGAGCGTTCCAGCTTACCCAAATCCTCCATCCTGCCCTGGCACAGGGTCCCGTGGGCCGGGGCAGCACCCTCAGGGAGGTGAGCTGGCGCTCGGGGCCGTGCAGGCGCTCGGTTCCGGTGCCGCCTCCGCCCCCTGTGCCGGGTTGTGTCGCTCAGGGTTTCCCTTTGTGGGCTCTGCGCCTCACACCACGTGTGACGGGGCAGAGCTGGGGCACGGGGAGCCACAAACAGCCCCGGGCTGGGGCTGCAGAGGGAAGAAATGGGCCAGCGAGTTGTCCGAGGAGCTCTGGGTGTAAACTGGGATGCTCTGGGAACCGGAGCGCGGGTGTCCTGCAGAGCCAGGCCTTTTCCAGGAGCCACTGGCCATGTGTGCCAAGGGATGGCATCCCTGTGACGGTGTGACAGAGCAGTGCCTTTTGGGGAGTGCTACTGCAGCCTCATCTTGGATTCCCAGGTAAGAGCAAATGCCCTTTTGGCAGAGAAATCCCCTGGGAGTGGCCAGTGGATGTGGGAACAGCTCCGAGGGACTGGTTCATAACCTGGGGGGCTGGTCTGTCGTCCCCTCTCAGTGCCCCTGCCCCCCCAGCATGGCTGGGGGGGGTTAATGCCAGAGGTGGGTGCAGGGGATGTGCACGTGGCTTGGTGTGTCCTTTGGGCTCTTGTAGGGGTGTTTGGAGGAGGCACCGCCCTGTAGGTGATGGATAACACCTCCGGCCCCTTGGTTACCAGCAAAGCTTCACCATGCCCTGGCCTGGCTCTTCCTTAGTCCGGCTCCCCGGGTGTTCAAGGGTGCCGGAAAAACCTCGGGAGCAAAGGCTGCGTGGCCAAGCGCGTCCTCTCGGCGGGGCCACGACCCCCGTGTGAGCGGGGAACCGCAGCATCCGGGGCCGCCGAGGCACGACCGCTCCCACGGGCCGGGCTGACACCGCCACGGCCCCGCTCCCGGGCCCTGCTGAGCCCGCCTGCACCCTCAGCTGGGCCGGGCCCGAGCCCCTCGAGCTGCCCCGGCGGGGTTCACTGAATTACTGACACGTTAATTACCACGTCGGTGACGGCGCTTTTGTTCCCTGCTCGCCGCAGCGCCATCCAGCCCGGCAGCACCTCGGGGAAAGCCCCGCGGGACATTCACCGGGACGTGTTTCAGGGCAGGAATCCTGAGAGCCACCCAGAGACAAGCCGGGGCACTGCTGGTATCGCTCAGCCTTGCGTCAGGCGCTTCCCTCCCCGCACGCACCAGAACCTTCCTGCCTGCGGAACGTTTGGGGCTATTTTTAGCCTTCTCAGTGATTTACTCTCCCCGCTGGGGACTTGTGAGCCCGAGGGCACACGAGGAGCCGGCGCTGGAACTCCTCATTGTAAAACTGCCCCCTTACAAGCCCCTCGGAGGCAAAAGGCTGAGCTGCTCCCTGGCCAGAGCTCTGCCCCCCTGCAATGGCTCAACCAGGATTAAGCAACCCCAGCCTTGCCTGCAGAGGGGAAATCAGTCGTGACAATGATGAGAGCAGGTTGGTATCGGGCTGACAGAAAGCAAGACCCGGTCCGGGTCAGCAGCTGTGGGGAAGGTTTGTGCTGAGCCTCTTGCCTGGGTCTGGCAGGGACAGGAGGAATCCCCGTGCAAGTACCCTGAGCTTTGCTTTAACTTTCACAGGTTCCCCCCCTTCCCTGGGCTCAATGTCTTGCTCAGAGGAACAGCTACTCCACGGTGAGGTGGTTTATTAGAGGAACCGAGGAAGGGAGAGCTGGACACACCTTTGTCTTCTAGGAACACGAAACAGAGCTCAGGAGTCGAAACCCGGGAGCAGAAGGAAGCGCGGGGCGGCCGGAGCCCTCTTCGCTGGTGGGAACCGGTTCAGCAAACAGGATTTACCAGCTAAACGCCTCGGGCTCTTCGAACCCCGGTGATTTTTGCCGCCTCTGGAGAGAGGATGAGGAGCACCTCGCTCTGCTGCCGCGATGGGGCGCCTTTTCCAGAGGGGCGCTGTTTCCTTCCCAGTTTCCTTCCCCTGGGATGAACAGTGGACGGGGAAGCAGAGAAGCTTCCCATGCCCAGCCAGGGCAGCTCCCCCTGCTCGGCTCTTCCAGACGCAGCCCGAGGGGGTGTCGCTCCCTCTCCATTCGCTCTGGCACAGCAGGAACGGGCTGGGATACCTGCCACGCTCCCGTCCAGGACAGCGTGCGGGGGTCACAGCAGCGCTGTGGCAGCAGGGATTTAGATAAGGAATGGGGATCCCTGGTGACCCGTGTAGAGGAATGAAGAGAAATCCAGCCAGTTTAGCCAATATTTTCAAGGACTGTGGGGAAAAGCTGAATTTCCTGGCGTGGGAATGTCACCCTTTGTTCTCCTGTCCTAGAATGTGAGTCAGATGTGTAAAATGTGGGTAAGGTCGGCCAAGCCACCCACCGCCGAGGAACCACGGCACAACCCCCTGCCCAACCCCACGGGCGGCTCCCGGTCCGGGGGATCAAGGGCGCACACGAGGGATCGCTCCAGGTCCCAGGGCACACCTGGACACTGAGGCTGCTTGGACCGGGACCCCGCTCCCGGCACCGGGCACAGAGCGGGGACCGGGACGTGGAACCGCATCACGGGGTTCCTTTGGGGAGGAACACAGGCTTTGCAGAACGCAGGGCCGGGTCCTGCCGCGGAGCCGGTCCCGGGGGTGCTGCCAGGGGCCGTTCGGGGCAGGTGACGGGAACCGGGAATGTGAACCGGGAAGGTGCAGCGCCCCCGGGAGGCGGTGCCTCCCCCGCCCCACGTGGAACTACAGCTCCCGGCAGGCCCCGCGCGTGCGCCGCGCCGGGACGGAAGTGGGCGGGGCGCGCGGCCCGGGCCCCGCCCCCCTGCGCCGGCCGCCATTTTGTCACCGACTTTCACCCGCCGCCCGACGGGGCGGTTTTTTTTTTTCTTAAAGGAGAAGCGGCAGCCAAAAAGCGGCCCCGCCGCCAGGCCCCGCCGGCACCGCGGGCGGCGCCGCAGCCCCGCCGCACGGAGCGGCCGCGCGGGGCCGGGGCGGCGAACGGCTTTCCCCCTGCCGGGCCTCGCCCGCGGGGCGAAGGGGGCCCCCCGGGGGCAGGCGGAGGGGCGCACACAGCGGCGGCGGTAGGGAGCCCGGCGGTGCCGGGGGCCGGGCGTCGGCCGGGGGCCGAGCCGGGGCGGCGGGCGGCGGGGGCCGCGCTCGAGTGGGCGCCGAGCGGGGCCGGCCCGGGGGGGGAGCGGGAGCGCGAGCGCGGCGGCCGCGGCGGCGCCTGCGCGGGGGGCGGGGGACGGCCGGGGCGCGCGCGCGGAAGCCGCGCGCTGGTTGGCCGCGCGGCCGCTCCGTAGGGGGCGGGGCCCCGCCCCAGCCGGGCCGCCCATTGGCCGGGGCGGCGCGCGAGCGGCGGGGGAAGGCGGGAGCGCGGCGGGCGCGGGGGGGAGGCGGGTCTCGCGGGGTTAGGGGCGGGGCCGTCCCTCGCGTCCCGTCCGCCGATTGGCGGGTGCGGGGGCCGGCGGCGCGCCGGGGCAGCGCGTGAAGGCGGGCGGCGGGCGCTGATTGGGCGCGGGCGGCGGGGGCGGGTCCGTCCCGTCGAGGGAGGAGCGCGGCCGCCCCGGCCCCGCCGCCGCCGCCCCGATGCCGGCGGGCACCGAGCAGCCGGGGGGCGCCGCCGCCGAGCCGCCGCCGCCCGCCCCGGCGCCACCGCCCGCCGCTGACAGGCCGCCCGCCTCGGGCCGCCGCCGACCGCCGCCCGCCGAGCAGGGGGAGGAGTCCGGCGGCAGCCGGGTGCTGAGGGGCGGCCGGGAGCGCGGACGCGCCGCCGCCGCCTCGGCCGCGGGGGGAGCCGCCGCCGCCGCCGCGTCCCGCCGCCGTAAGGCCGAGTACCCCCGGCGCCGGCGGAGCAGCCCCGGGGCGCGGCCCGCCGCCGAGCAGCCCGCCGCCGAGACGCCGCCCGCGGCCAGGAAGGGCCCCCGGGCCGGGTGAGTCCCTGCGGCGCCGCTGGGCCCGCACCTCTCCGGGGTCGCGGCCGGGGCCGGGCGTGGGGGGCTCTGCGGGCGATCCGGCGGCATCGCGCCCGGGCCCCGGGGCCGCCTCCGGGCGCGGGACGCCCCGCGCCGCCGCCCCTTTGTTCCGGCGCCGCCGGTCCCTTCCCAGGAAGCGCCGCGTCCCGGGAGCCGCCGGCTGTGCCGCGGCCGCTGTCCCGGGGCCCAGCGGAGCCAGCGCGGTTTGGCCCCGTCCTTCTCGGGGAGGGGGGCGGCGGGGTCCAGCTTCCCGGGGGAAGATGTTGCACCCCCTGCACCTTCGGCGCGGAGCGGGACCCCGGCCACGTGCACGCGTGGAGCCTTTGGGAGCGCAGCTGCTCTGCCCTGTCCCAAGCACAAAATCCCCCTGGCTCGGGTGTAGCTACGGTGGGCAGGGCTGGCCCTTCGCTGCTGGATGTTCCTGGAGTTCCCCTCAGCTCCCTGCCGCTGGAATAATCCACCTTGGCATGAGGGAGTGAAAGCAGCGATCCCAGGGCGAGGCACTGGGAATCTGGGGAGCTCATCTGCGTGTTGTGTAGTTCCTTGTTTCTGCCCCTGTGCTGCAAAATCTGGCTCTTATACTTGGTCTTGTGTTTTTTTTTTCAGGTGTGCAGATAAAGCAGCTGGTAAAGGTAAGAGCTGAATTACTCACTCGTGCTGTCTCTTCCATCCGGGAAGTCTGGGCTCTCCCGGAGCCAGATGTCTGTCTTGTCCCCCTGAGTTAGCCAGATATGTCTTAGATCTTCCTTTTAAAGAATGTTTTGGTGCCAGATGATGTGCCTGGTGGTTTGACAGCTCTTGTTGCACAGCAGTCCCAAGCAGCAGGCAAATCCTGGGCTCTCTTCTGTTCTGAGCTCACGAGTACAGGTGTAGGTCCTCCAGATCCGTGTGGAAATGACAGCATTCAGCTATTTACACTTGTTCTTTTCTAACTTCAGTGGATTGTGGATTTTTTTACACTCATTTCTTCAGGGGTGAAGGAGAAAATTCTTCGGAGTTTGGGGAGACAGTGGCTTAAGGGGTCTGAACACAAAAGCCTCAACTATGGGGAGCTGAGACCTGGAGCAGAATTTTTGTTTTCTGGTGCAAACTGCAAACTTTGTAGCGTCTCTTTAACAGCTTCTTGTTAGAAAAACAAAACCAAAAAAAAAAAAAGGTTTGTGGGCTTTGCTGATGGCTCCTGAAACAGCTCCAAGCACAGGGCTTTGTGTGGTGTTGGTTTTGATCTGGCACCAGAGGATTGTGATGGGAACTGTGAGGAAAGGGGGTCACACACCTGTGAAAATGAATTCCACCTTCCTGCCGGAGCCGTCCGGGTTGGTTTGCAGGCAGCTG